CTGAATAAAAATTCACATTTGCGAATAAAAAGAAGTTGAGCATGTTTATAATGCAGACAAATCTATAGGAATATATTAATAAATTGTGATTGAAATCTGAAAAAAAATTGAAATTCTTGCAGCACAGACACTCGCACACATATAACGTGGTAGTGTGCATGCCTTATCCTGTGGTGGCACTAGATTGTCATTTCTATTCTGGATTGCATCCAGAATAGAAATGACAGCTGCAGTGAGATTTGGTTGCTGTCGCCAACTGGTATGTACCATAGTGTGCACATCTGTTTTTGGTGAATACCCTGTCGGGGAACAGTGGAAACTGGAATTATTTACTGAAGGATTTTGGTTGGGAGCGATGGTTTTTTTTAACGCTGTTTATTTGTCTCTTACTAGAAAAGAGGAACACCCCAGCACTCGACAATTTATAAAGAAATATATAAATTAAATAAATTAAAATAAAAAGTATGTATTAAAAGTAGAGATTTCATTTTTTACAGATAAATTATAATAACAATGAAAATGATAGGTAGAGAAAATAGAAACATTAAATTGGTAATGTATTTTTTATTAGTGGTTATTAAGGTCTGTGTAGATTTAAGCTTGCGCAGGAAATATAACTTTTTTAACTATACTATTATAATTAATTTGTTCTAAAGATCTATGATCCAAAAAATTTAAATTCATAGTTATAATGCATCTAGGTTGAAACTGTATGATTGGCTTGCTTCTTCCTAATGTTTACTAATGGGGGTCTTTATTTAGGAAAATTTTTATTATATTAGGAAAAGCAAAAACAATTTACAAAATTATAAATTTATATTTATAGAATATGTTCTATATACATGGTTCTATATTCAGGTGGAAGGGGTTTTCAATCACATTTTTTCCCCACCATAACCTACCACTACCGAGCCTCAATAAGCAAACCAATAACCAACCTCATGCTGAAGAGTTGCATTAACAATGAAACAGCTGTCCATGAGTGGTTCACTGGTTTTGCATCTTTTCCTAAATTGTGTTCCAAGCAGTTGTATACTGCAAACACAGATTAAAAGGAATCCATGTTTAAAATGGAATGAGGCAAAAATGTGATTCTTTGTTAAACTAATTTGCACATGCCCACCCAGAATCCTTTGTGGTTGTAACATCACTGCAGATTTGGGATTTCTGTGGGAAAAGCAAGTCTTATGGCTTGACTGGTGTGCAGATTTTTGTTTAACATTGTATTAACTATCCACAGACTTCAGGTGGAAGGGGTTTTCAATCACAATTTTTACCCACCATAACCTGTTTGGATTTTGCTTCTATATACATGGTAATATATATTTCTATTGTTTGCAAATGATACTGTAATGAATCTTTAGGCAATTGTTAATATATAATATGTGTATATATATATATATATATGGGGTTCACTATATTTTATGAAATTAGTTTTACGCTGTGTCTATGTGGAATAGATGCCAAAATACCAGAGTATTGCAGTATGTAATGATACTTTTTTATTGGACTAACATAATATTTCAAATACAAGCTTTCAAGAGTTTTCTTCTCTTCCTCAGGTCTGAAGCAATATTGATAAATATGATAGAGTTTATTTTGAGATATATATATAGTATGTTACCATCTGATTGAAATTTAAAAAGAAATTGCATGCAGACTGTTTGTGGTGTGAGGTGCGGCTAGGGCTGCATAAACAGAATCAAAAGTTATTTATCTCCCGAATGTCAGAGAATTGTGCAGTGAGACTTCAGAAGCATGATCTATAACCTAAAACTGCATACTTAAGCTAAAAAAAAAATGGTGACTGTGACGAAATGCCTTTTGTCCCTGGATTGTTAGGTTACAAGCTGCCCTTTGCCCCCGGCTTTTGGAGGAGCCTGATTGCCAGCCTCCTTCCTCATGACTATGGCCCTGGGGTGTATTGCCATTTAAAAAGACTATTTGGGGCTTATTGGCTTCTAAAGACAGTTTCTTCCCATTTGAATCCATGGGAAGGTGTGTTTCTTCCCCTCCCCCGTTTCCTGTCTATTGTTCTCCAGCAGGGCGTTGTCCCAGGCACAATGCCAAACCAGTTGGAACTGACTGCTTTTGTCCCTCCTTGGTTTCTCAACAGCCCTTGCTATGCTTTACCCTGTGGAAAATCTACTCTGTTCATGGGATCTGAGCGCTGTTCACCTAGATTGGGCGCTCAGATCCGAGCTATCTGGGGATAGGTTAAATGTGGGGGTTCTGTGTAATAAAATAAGAATTATGTATTTTTATGTACTTTTACGTATTTTGCTGTTAGTGTTAAATGTAGATATTTTCTGTACCTGGAGATAATTGAGTTTACTGCAGTGCCTTAAGCCAATTATCTCCAGGATGGAGAGGAGGGATTTCATTGTGTATGTGAGAGTGTTATCATGTTAATTAGTGTTCCCATTGGTTTGTGTCCCTTTTGTCACAGTTTACCACCAGGTCCAGGGGGTGTGCCTCTGACCTGAAAACTTGTATATAAGGAGTAATAAACGCTCATTGGAGTCAGATCATCTTGTACCTTCATGAAGTTTCGGCTCATGTTTGGGGGATTGGAGAAACTACACTCTGGGGATTGCTATAATCACTATACTCCCCAGGGTATAATCACTAAGCTCTGCTAAGAGCTTGTTCCTGTTCCTGCTCTCTGGAATTCGGAGAGAGGTCGACCTGCTGGAAGCTGGACCCTGGTCCTGGGTCCAGAGTGGGTGGAGACGGCGAGATCCCAACCAAGCTGCGGCGGTTCGTGGGGTCTGCAGTGGTTATGGTGTCAGGCAGAGTGCTTGGAGTCCTCGGAAAGCACTAGGAGCATCCGTCGGCGGAAGGTACCCGGTCGGGGTGCCAGCGGTTCCGTTACAGTGACTATAGTGTCCCTTTAAGTCTGGGTGGGAGATAGGTTTTTAGGTGACTGGTGGCTATGGACTATACTTGTGCAAGCTGAAAAAATGTCGTCCCTCAATAGGTTTATTGAGGAAATAATTTGGTCCCAGAGAATAGAATTTTGTCCATTGGATGATTCAAATTTCAAATAAATTTGGTTTGTGTTTTGATTCAGACAAATTAAATTACACATTCTAATTACATTTCTTAATTTTGATCTTTCAGATGTTTAGTAGCTCACTTATTTGCAATCGTTAAATATGGCAATCCCACATAAGGGTACCCAATTAAGGCGCTACCTACTAACAGTTGAAAAATCTAAAATAATAAAATGGCTTTTCTTAACCCCTTAAAACCGGAGGGCGTACTATTACGTCCTATTCCAAGCGACTCTAAATTCCGCAGGGCTTAATAGTACACCCTCACGGTTTTTCTTACTTACCCGGTCGCCTGGGATCCCAGGGAGTCCCCCGCGGCGGATCCTGCCTCCTCCGGTCCCCCTTGGCAATGTGAGAAAATATATATATGATCTAAGTATATAATTTATTTTTTTTACACTGATTTTAACTGTTTATTTGAATTCAGCCAGCAGGAGGCTGAATTCAAATAATGCTGGCTGAATTCAAATAAACAACAGTTAAAATCAGTGTAAAAAAAATACATTATATACTTAGATCATATATATATTTTATATTTATATATATGATATATATATATATTTGTATATATATATATATATATATATATATATAAATACACAAAATCCTTGCACTCAAAGCTTCAAAATTTCTTACCGGGTGCTTGTAGTCCAGGGGAAAGATAGATATCCATATATCACAAGGTGACCAGCACTCACGGATATGTTAAAACATCCAAAGTTTAATACAAAATATTTAAAAAAATTGTTGACAGCTCAACGTTTCAGTCCTCCTCTGGGACTTTCATCAGGAACAATAATGATGTCTCACAATTAACATACATAAATAGACAGAGTAATTAGCATAATTAGCAGGCAAAATCAAAAGAAATAATCTTACCCACCAGTGTACTCAATTCACGAGACCGCCGGCGTCCCAGAGTGTCCTTTGCGCATGTGCGTCGAAGCCCCGCCTCACGCCAACGTGATAATGTGACGTCGGTTGTCATGGAAACCGGAAACGAAGCCGGCACTCCATGGCAACCGAGACGCCTAAAAACAGTGATACCGCAGTGTAGAATACAAGAAATAAGTATATAAAGTGTGCAGAATAGATGTATCACCCGAATAGGTTGATATAAATAGATCAGGGTATCGTAAGTGAATTACTGGTATAAACGCATTCAACAGTCCACTATTAAACTGAGAGACCGTATATAAAAGTGCTAAGAGTGCAAACAGGAAAATGAAGTGAAAAATTAGTGCAATAATGGTGCTGAGAAAGCAGATATGTGCAAATGCTAGCAAATAGCCCAAGGTGCAATTATAGTTTAAGGCTTGATCTATGCAAATATGTTATATTTTGCAGTGAGTAAACAAATATATAAAGTGCTAGTACACATAATGTCTGAAGACAAAGGATCCTCATATTTACTGAATAAAGTGCATGGAAAAATTATTGAGTTATGGCAGGTAGCAGACACCAATTTTTAAAAAGGGACAGGCGACTCAAAAATATCAAAACAAAAACAAAACTAACGATACATCAATTAAATCAATATAGATACAGTGCTAACTACAATCATTAAAAACAATCATTACAAAAGGTTAGATGAATGAATGATATGAAATTATTTCATTCAAGCCTTTGGGGGCTATGGTGCCTAATGTATATATCCAAAATGTCTCTCGGTTCAACAGAAGCTTGCCTCTATCACCGCCACGTTTAAGTGGAGTGATATGGTCTATGGCCAAAAACTTAAGGGCTGACAATGTATGTTGAAGGGACAGAAAATGTTTGGCCACAGGTTGATCAGAGGTACCATCACGGTAGTCTACCCTAATACTAGACCTGTGTCCCCTAATTTTATCATACAGTGGGGTTTCCGTTTTGCCTATATAAGAAAGGCCACACGGACATGACAACTTGTAAATCACGTAAGGAGTCTTACACGTAATTGTGTACCGTATTTGAAAAATCTTATTACTGTGTGGATGTTGAAAAGTACGTGAGGGCGTCATATGTCCGCAGGTAACACATCCTAAACAGCGAATGCTGCCACGGCTATGTGTCTCAATACTCTTTTCATAGCTTTTTGAGGGGTCCGTGTGTACCAGCAGGTCCCTTAAGTTTGTATTCCTTCTGTAACAAATGAGAGGAGGTTCCTTAAAAACCTTGGGAAGTGTGTCATCACACGCCAGCATTTTCCAATTATCCTTAATAATCCTTGTGACTTCAGGAGATGCATCGTGATAGGTAACAGGGAAAACTAACCTTGGGGCACCGTCCTTGACTCTAGGAGAGTTGGCTATCTTAGCTTCTTCTAATGCTCTCACTAGGTCATTCCGTCGGTAGCCACGTTCAAGGAATCTTTCCATCATCCCTTCTAGTTGTTCCTCCATGACATTCTTGTCTGAATTATTGCGAATCACTCTCAAGAATTGGGCTTTGGGTAAAAACTTTTTCAATGCCTCTGGGTGTGCACTGGTACTATGTAGAATGGTGTTCCTATCAGTGGGTTTCTTATAAAGGCAATACGACAAGCCCTGGTCTGTAATGGCTATTTCTAGGTCCAAAAATTGTACTGCTGTGGAGCTGATATTAGATGTAAATTTGATGGGACTTTCCTTCTGATTAAGGGACTGTACCATATTCATAGCTTCTACGGTAGTCCCGTTCCAAAGTAGTAGCAGATCGTCAATATAACAAATATAGCCATTGACAGCCGCTAGAGGCGCTTGCGTGCCTCTCACTGTGATTTTCACAGTGAGAGCACGCCAGCGTCCATAGGAAAACATTGATAATGCTTTCCTATGCGACCGGCTGAATGCGCGCGCAGCTCTTGCCGCGCGTGCCCATTCAGCCGACGGGGAGGAGAGAAGGAGGATCGGAGGAGGAGAGCTCCCCGCCCAGCGCTGGAAAAAGGTATGTTTTTACCCCTTTCCCCGTTCCAGAGCCGGGCGGGAGGGGGACCCTGAGGGTGGGGGTACCCTCAGGGCACTATAGTGCCAGGAAAACTATAGTGGTCCTTTAACCTTGAATCGAAATTCAAGAAGAGAACTGGAAGAAGAGGATATTTTTTCGGAGTTATGGAAAAATTCTTTGAGACGCATATGTCTCCCAAAGTTGAAGAGTTCCGTGTTCCATTTAAATTGATTCAGTATGGCTGTGGGTACAAAAGAAAGCCCTTTATTCAGTATTTCAATCTCTTGAGTAGTCAGGTGTCTCTGGGACAAATTGAAAATAGGGGTTATTTCCGTAGCGGCGGTTTTCCCCGGGATAGGGGTCTTGCCTTTGCTTCCCCGCCGCGTTCTCCTCCTCCTCCTTCTATACCTCTGCCCCGGCTCCTCGTAGTAGTTCCCATCGTCGACTCTTCTAAAAAAGGACTGGAGTCCCCCTGTGTCTCATTTTCAGATGTAGAGTCGCCTGATGTGATATCAATAGTTGAGACCTGAGGGCGTCTAATCCTCTGGCACTGTCGCCTAGGCCTGCGTCTACTGTCACCCATTAGCCATCTATAGACACGGTGATCCTGGTAATCTTGCCGAACATGTTCAAATTTCTGTTTTTTGAATCTAATTAATTTGTTCTTGTAAGTAAGTAATTCACATTTCAATTTGTTCAAGAGTTTAACCCACTCTGGTGTTGCTAACACTATGGCATGTTCCAATTCTAATTCAGATATTTTCTGTGTGACATCCACCATGTCTGTTCTAACGTCCTGGATAATAATGAGCATCAGATCTAGAGAGGCTTTATTAAGCACAGAGGTCCAGTCTTTGCAGCCTTTTGCTTTGCCCCGACCTATAGTGTGGATATTAAGGATTCTGAAGCCTCTTGGGATTCGTTTGGCTTTATAGTAGTCAGAGAGGAATAGCCCATGTAAGTCTAGGTCTATCTGTTTCTTATGTAAGCGTAATAATTGAAAGTAGATATCCTTTAAAGACACATTATGGGGCAGCTCCAGTCCTGTTTGTTCCCATAGGATAGCCTTAGCCTCATCCTGAGAAAATTGTAAAGTATCTGCCTGTTCGGCATAAGCCCCAGCTTGTAACAAAAAGTCATCCATAGTAACACTGTACCAAAAATGCACAATGGTACATAAGTATGCCATTCCAATATAGTTATATATGATTTTGCCAGCTAATTATGCTAATTACTCTGTCTATTTATGTATGTTAATTGTGAGACATCATTATTGTTCCTGATGAAAGTCCCAGAGGAGGACTGAAACGTTGAGCTGTCAACAATTTTTTTAAATATTTTGTATTAAACTTTGGATGTTTTAACGAATCTGTGAATGCTGGTCACCTTGTGATATGGATATATATATATTTATATATATATATATATATATATATATTAATATCAAATTACACGTAGACTGATACTGATTAAATATATATATATAATTATTGTTATATATATATTTATATATAATATAAAAAAAATATGTAAATATGTTAAAACATAAAAATTAATAAAAATAAATAATGAAACAATATATAGATGTGTTATTTTGTTCTAACTGTATTGTGATTTTTTATATCAAAATACATGTAGAACAAAATAATATATATAGCTATATACATAAATATATATGTATATATCACTATATATATACCTATATGTAAATAAAAATATTTAAAATATATATATATATATATATATATATATATATATATATATATATATATATATATATATATATATATATATATATATATACACATATATATACACATACGTATAATGGAAAATTTATTCATACTTACCGTAATTTTCTTTTCCTGGTCATATGCCATGGCAGCACAACATTGGGTAGCTCCTCCCTATCCCCATTGGACAGGAATAATAATTAAGCCGTATAAGTACCACCTCCTACCCCTCCTTCCCCAGTCATGTTTTCCAGCAATAGCCCCGGGTGGGACCCTTGTGCTGCCATGGCATATGACCAGGAAAAGAAAATTACGGTAAGTATGAATAAATTTTCCATTTTCCTGGCCATATCCATGGCAGCACAACATTGGGTAATACCCAAGCAATAAACCAGGGAGGGAAAGAGACACAGACTCCAAAAATTTTGAATGCAAAGTGTATTAACACCACAACAGGTGAAAAAATAGAAATCAGGTATCGGATACAGACAGAACTGATTTAGCAAATTGATCAGATATACCTGCTCTAACATCAATTTGGTAGCTCTTAATGAAAGTGTTAGAGGAAGACCATGTAGCTGCTTTACAAATGAGTTCAGGAGAAACATTAGCAGCAGCTGCCCAGGAAGATGAGAGAGCCCTCGTGGAATGGGCTTTAAGACCCACAGGGACCGGATATCCAGCAGATTGATAAGCCAAAATAATAGCTGCTACTATCCACCTGCTAATGGTAGATTTGGGAGCTTGTGAGCCCTTTTTACAGCCGCCATGAAGGACGAAAAGACTGTGAGAAGTACGCCAAGCAGAAGTCCTATTAATATATATCTGGAGGCATCTTACTAGATCCAGAGAAGATAGGTTAGTAGCATTCTCCATTTCTAGGGAGACAGACCTCAGAGATGGAAGAACAATATCCTCGTTGATGTGAAAGGAGGAGGTGACTTTAGGTCGAAATTCGGGAACCGTACGGAGGACAACTCTGTCTTTGTGAAAGACCGTAAAAAGGCTCCTTAATGGATAGAGCGTGGAGCTCAGAAACCCTCCTGCCGGAAGCTAGGGCAATCAGCAAAGCAGTCTTAATAGAGAGAGCATGAAGAGGAACTGTCTCAAATGGTTCAAAAGGTTCCAACTTTAAGGCATTCAAGACCAAAGGGAGATTCCAAGATAGAACAAATGGTTTAATAGGAGGTTTTATCTGAAGGACTCCTTTGATGAATCTGATGACATCCGCGTCCAGTGCCCATCGATGATTGGTTAGAGCGGACAAGGCTGAGACGTGCACCTTGAGAGTGTTATAGCTCAGCCCTTTAGCAAGCCCAGACTGCAGAAACTCCAAAATATTAGAGGAGGAAGGATCTTGAATATTAAAGTTCCTGTGAAGGGCCCAGTCAGAGAAAACTTCCCACACTCTATAATAAGTGGCCGAAGTGGAATGCTTACGTGCCTTCAGCATAGTGCCTATAACGTCCTGGGAGAATCCTTTACTCAAAAGCCGGTTCCTTTCAGTCTCCAAGCCATGAGATTGAGAGAGACCGGATTTGGATGAAACACAGGACCTTGGAACAGAAGATCCGGAGTTCTGGGGAGTGGGAGAGGAGGTTCCACCAAAAGACTTTGAAGCAGAGGAAACCAGGGTCTTCGAGGCCAATAAGGCGCAATCAGGATGAGAGACACCTGCTCTGTTCTCATCTTCCTCAGGAGCGGGAGAATTAGTGGAAATGGGGGAAAAGCATAGCCCATCCTGAACCTCCAGGGGCTTGATAAAGCATCCCTCCCCAGTGCTAGGTGGTTCTTTCGTGAAGAAAAGCTTTACTTTCCTGTTGGCCCGAGTGGCTAGAAGGTCTACTTGAGGGAGGCCCCATTTGTCCACAATCAAGCGGAATACTCTGTCCGAGAGGCACCATTCCCCCGGATCTATCCTGGATCTGCTGAGAAAATCCGCCAGATGATTCCGTTTCCCTGGTAGATGGATGGCAGTAAGGCCCGCCAGGTTTCTCTGAGTCCACCACATCAGGCGATTCATGATTTCCATCATCTTGCAGCTCCTGGTACCCCCTTGGTGATTGACATAGGATACCACAGTGGAGTTGTCCGTCCTTATCTTCACCCATTGCCCCTTGAGATGATTCGAGAAGTGTTTCAATGCTTTGAGGACAGCCAGAAGCTCTAGGCAATTGGAATGAACATTGTTTGCCCTGAAACTCCATTCTTCCTGCGCAAAGTCGTGGAGACAATGAGCGCCCCATCCCCATTGGCTGGCATCCGTTGTCACAGTTATCCACGCGATATCTCCTAGTGGAAAACCCTTTGATAGGTGCTCCCTGTTTAACCACCAGATTAGAGAATGGCGTACATTCAGGGAAAGTTTGATGGGTTGGTGCAGGTTCCCGGAGGAGAACTGTCTCAGGAAATTGGCTTGGAATGGTCTCATTCTCCACTGTGCCCATCTGGTCAGTCCTATTGTGGAGGACATGGAACCCAGGAGGCTCATTATGGCCTTTGCCGGGGCCACCCTGGATATCAGCATTCTTCTCAATAACATCTTGAGTTTCTGTATTCTTGCTGATGAAAGTTGGACAGTGCCCTTTAGAGTGTCGAAGTGAGCTCCTAAGTAAACCATAGATTGCGTTGGGTGGAGGTGGCTCTTCTTGGTGTTGATCTTCCAGCCGTGAGCTTGCAGAAACTGAATGCTGGTAATAGCATGGGATGTCAGAGAATCTACGTTGTTTCCTAAGATCAAGATGTCGTCCAAATAATGGTAAATCGCAATGTTCTGTTTTCGGAGTTCTGCAATGAGAACAATCAGGACCTTTGTAAATGTCCTCGGAGCTGTGCTCAGTCCAAAGGGGAGGGCCCTGAACTGGAAGTGACCTTCTTCCACAGCAAACCTCAGAAACTTTTGATGAGTTTGGGCGATGGGTATGTGAAAATACGCATCTAACAGATCTATGGACAGCATCCATTGGTTGGGAGACACTACTTTTATTATAGATTGTAAG